GATAAAACTGATATTGACAAAGTTTAAACTTTAAAATTTATATTTAAGAAAAGGTGATATCACAGTATTTATTGCACAACTCGCCTTATCACAAAATGTATAAATGTGGTGATTAGGGATGGGTACCGGTAGTAACCAGACGGAAAAGCAGCGCACATTTCGATGCTTTATTTCAGTGCTTTTTTTTTTTTTTTTTTTTTTTTTTTTAGATTCTAACAAATCATTTTACGTTTCCGAGGATAGTAGGCAGGTCCAGGTACGTACTTTTAGAGCAGAGCTACAGATTAAAAATGTCCAAGGCGAAGCAGTCAAAGTCTGGCTGTACTTCACAGCAAAATATGCAAACTCAGCAGCCTGCAACAAGTGCTTTAAGGTGATACTGTGATACTGTCAAAGGAGGTAACACCTCAAATGCGATGAAACACCTGGCGACGCATAGCGGTTTTTTAAAAAGCCGAGAACTGCGCCGCATTTGATAGCTTGCTGCGAGACGTCACACCGTGCACATCTACTGCGGGTGGGTCGTCTGCTATCGGACCCGGAGTTAGCAACATCCCCCAAAAACCCGAAGATTAGAGTCCTGGCCCGTAGCCCTGCCAGTGTAGCAGAAATGATGAGGATGATGATGGCAGCAGCAGCCGTTCTTCTCTGGGTCAGTAGCTTAATGTTGTTCGTGTGTAATTTACGTTGAGTAGGCTAACCACGTTATTACATTAATGCATGTAAGGTGAACTAGCAAACATCATCATAGCTACATGCAGCTGTCCTCTTGTTTGATGGCAGATACTCCCTTCACCCTGGCCAAAAAGGCTAAAATGACCAAAGAAAAAGTGGAAAACAGGTAAACATGAGAGGTTTTGGACAAAGTTTGTGTTTTGTTTTGTTTTTTTTGTTTTCCAATTGTTTAAGCACTGCTTCCAGCCAAGAGTGATACCATATATGCCACATAGCTGCAGGAAAGGCTAACATTGTTATCTTTTTACAAAAAACCAGCTGAACATGAGAGGTTTTTGGACCAATTTTGTGTTCTCATTCTTTAAGCACCGGTATCAGATAAAACCTAAATGATACCCATAGTGTCTGATTTCCACCTCGGTTGCCTAAGAAACTAATTGGTAGATGAGGCGCTTGCTAAAAGAACGGTGCCTAGTTAATGACTTCCAGCTCAAGGAGAATTGTGACTTTACTGACTCGTTGAATGTCTTTCAACAGTCGTGATGGAAAAGCTCTGGAGCGTTTCTTGCAGGACTACTTTGATGGCAAGCTGAAGCGCTATCTCAAATCAGAACCCATCCCAGAGAACAACGATGGACCTGTTAAGGTGAGATCAATTTTTTCTGACACTTGTAAGATTTGTACTAAACACTTTCTTTGTGTATCATGGACATGCTTTATGCTTTTAAACGTACATTAAGGCTAAAGGGGACCTATAATCATTTACAGCTGCAAATGTTTATTCTCTGCCTCGGCTGAAGTAGCTTTGACTCATTTAAGAAATGATTGTCATGCTGAGGTTTAGTGCAGTTGCCTAGTTTGTCCAGTCTGAGGTGAACTGCCTTCAAGTCAACTTTCTTTTTTAGTAGCTACATCTCATTTGAAAGATTTCAGCCGTGGATGTGTATAAATGCAGCGTGAGGATGTGCAATTATCCTGGATACTCTGCTTAATTCAGTGACAACGCATAATCACAACTCGTATAATCGGTCTACAACACCCCCCACCCCCTTCCTTTCACACTCTCACGTCATGTTTTGACAGCTTTAACGGAGATTAAGTTTTACTGTTGCCATAAAGCCTAAGGCCGTTTGTCCACTGCAGGAGCTATCAGTCAGATTATTCCTAACCGTGGAACCCAGCACTCTCGATTGGGAACAGCAGAACAAATTGGCAAGATGGCTTAAAAAAAAAAAAAAATAATTAAATGGATCAATGAGACTGCAATTCTGGTGAGGTACAAAAGTAGTGAATCAGAGGTAAAAATGTTTTCAAAAACCAGAAAGATCATTCTGTTTATTTGGAAGCAATGATTTCATCATCTTACCTCATCTGGATTACTGAGCATGCATCAGCACATTAGTAGAAACAGACAATAGCCTTTGAGTGGAGGAAGTTCTGGGTACTTCAGGTGGAAAAATGGCTGCAGTACAGAACCAGCTCTAATACCTGCAATGTCTCTTCAGGTTGTGGTGGCTGAAAACTTCGACTCCATCGTTAACGATGACAGCAAAGATGTGCTGATTGAATTCTACGCTCCGTGGTGCGGGCACTGCAAAAACCTGGAGCCCAAATACACAGAGCTGGGAGAGAAGGTGAGGGAGCGATCCTGAACTGCTGCTAGTTCAGATCTTTCGCATTAAAACAATAACATGTTCTTAAGTAACTTATCCAGAACTTTAAGTCATGTGACCTCCTGGATTAGCTTGCTTTTTTCTGGCCTGCATCACCCAGCCTGTAGACTAGTCTAACGTGTGGATGTTAAGGTTTAGTGAATTGTCTTGGAAAGACTTAACAATTTGCCCTATTTGTTTCTAAAGCTGGCCGATGATCCCAACGTTGTCATTGCCAAAATGGACGCCACAGCCAATGATGTGCCATCTCCATATGAAGTCAGCGGGTGAGTGCCGAGTCATTTAATGTGACGATAAGGCTTGGGCTGTTTTTAATTTAATTAAAATAAAGGTTTATGGTTCCCCCCAACTTCATGCTGTGGACAGTTCAAGATAAGCAGCATCAGTGAAAGTGAGCAGCTGAGTGTGGTGAATTGTTAAACTCTTTAGTAGCAGTCAAAGCAGCTAGAATACCTTTTTAATTTTACCAAAAAAGAGGGATGAGGAACGTGGGACAGAATTTTGCAATATTGCAGATTTTCTTTAAGCCGAACAGTCAGGACATTCTTGTACCATGTGAAGGTGTACAATTTGGGTCAGCCATAGGCTTCACGCTGAGTCCTGTATGTGACATTAGAGTGAATTTAAAGACCATATCTGTCTGCCATGGCGACAGAGCATACAGTATGTTCCCTTCAACATAACTTGGAGACTGTTCCTGTATTCTCTCGGCTATGTATCTTCATCACTGATAAAAGGGGGGGCACAACACTGCACATGAAACTGCAGACATCCTGAAGCTTAATTACAGACTGATTATGATTAGCTGTGAGCTATGTGAGAAGCTTGACTTTGGGGAAAGGTGAAGGAACTCGGGTTAACATGCATGTGTGATTACCTGTGCAGTTTGATACATGAAATCATAATCTTTGTCCTCAACCTCTCCTAGATTCCCTACAATCTACTTTTCTCCAGCTGGACACAAGTTGAGCCCAAAGAAATATGAGGTGAGTGTCTGTTAAAGTGCCATTCACAGCGGCAAAGTGATGTCTGTGCTTTGCTGATGAACCCTCTGCTTTCGCTGCAGGGAGGTCGCGAGGTGAGTGACTTCATCTCCTACCTGAAGAGGGAGGCCTCAAACCCGCTGGTGATGCAGGAGGAGTCCAAGAAAAAGAAGAAGAAGAAGTCAGAGCTATAAAAGCTCCAAACAGGAACTCAGCAGCACCCCTCCCTACCTCCACCACCACAACAGGAGGATTGGGGAAGAAAAAGAACTAAATTATATTCCTCTCTTAGTGAACTACAGAATGGTCTGAAGTCAAAGACGTGGCCCTTCCTTTAGGTCCTCATTGCACTGGGAATGCTGTGGAAGGTGGAGAGGTTTTGGCCAGGGTCTGCCCAATATTTCAAAACAAACCAATTTTTAGGGAAGATGGGATGACTTTTTTTAAAACATGAGATTTCTATTTCCCCTGGTCTGTCTACTACACCTCAGGCTGATGCACTTTGGTTTGATACAGTCTGTCATCTGTCGCTTTAGTTTCTTGTTGTCATCAAAGGGGAATCACGGTAATGGTGAAATTTTTTTTTTTTTTTTTTTTTTTTTTTTTTTTTTTTTTTTTTTTTGTAACATGCCTTTGATTTTGTACATTTGGAAGGATTGTGAAATAAAAAGGCCCACAAAACCAAAATGAACTCTGAAGTCTTTTCTATCAACTCAAACGCTTGTTTGGCACACACTTAGACATAGTTGATCATTTTAATTGGAAATTAATATTTGGTGGCTAAATGTGAACAACTGATGTATCTGTAGTGAAACTGAGACTTAAGCAAGATATGCGTGTGTGTGTGTGTAACATCTTCAAAAACAAATTTGAGTTATTTGGTTATATTTACCTTTAAATATCATTAAACCAGCCTCTCTTGGGCTGGAGAAAGTTATCCCAATCACAAAATACTATAAATATAAGCCAAATAATCAGTGCATCTACATCATTTTTCTGATATTTACTGATCTGTAGCTTATTTTTTGAGGGGGGGGAGGGGAACAGTTCACATGTTGGAAATCTAGATGTTAACCTTGATTAGAAGCTAAAATGCCACCACATTTTTTGTAACTGGGGACATTTATAGTCCTACAATTAATAATGTGGGATTCACATGAGATTTATTTTAGTACCTCTCCACTGAGTGCAAAGAAAGGGAGGTGTTTTGTTAATGGGACATTTCCAAACCCTTAGGCTATATTACAGGTAGCTAATGCTAAAATCTGTATTCTTTTTTTCATGTGTTTTTGGCAGCGGTCCGAATTACGGACTGTATATAACCTACAAGATGAGATCAGAGAGCAGCTACAGTCCCATACAAAACTGATTGCTGATGCAAATAGCAAAAACCCAGTCTCTGGATGAAATGAAGACGCTGATGGATTCTCAGACTTTTCTTGTGTATTTATTTATTTTCATATTTGTCACGCTTACATGTTTTACATCATCAAACAAAGTTTACTATTAGACAAAGCATGTGTACGCACCCAACCAATAGGCGGCGACTCCGCATGTGAGTTTGTCTGAGTAAACTAAAGAAGAAGAGATTGAACCAATGGGATTAAAGAGTAGAGGCGATTTGTCCGGGCATGTTCAGACCCTACACGTGCTGTTTCAGAAGGTAACGTAAGATATTTTTACTCTTTTTCTCAATTCATTTCTGTTCTCGTGTTTGTCAGCGTTCAGAAATACGTCGTTTATGCTTGTAATCGATCTCAAGGGGCGTTGTCTTATTTTTAACGCGACTTTCTGCGGCTCGCTGGGGTTTTTCTTTTTATAATCAAACTGAGAGACAAACTGTGTTTAAATACGTGGAATTTCCAGCTGAATTTAGTCACATGCAAACTCTTTTTACATAAGCTTCAGTTTTTTTTCTGAAATGTTACCGGCTAGTGTTTGATTTCAAAAGTGCCAAGCGCGTTTTTTGTAAAAAAAACTGTAAGCTTTTACAATCTTTCAAGGCCTCGCCATATCCGGATCATCCAGGCGAATGATGTTTGGATGATGGGTGCTTTGTAAATACAGCCTGAATTGTATGCTGGATTTATTATTTATCAACATGAAGACTGGCGAGGAAAAAGTTTTTAAACTTGACACCACCATCATATTTATGCCACTAAGAAGAGTCAAACTCTGCACTTATGGGGTGTTTGTAATGTGTTGGTGTCAGGTATGTGGCCCTTAAAGGCACCCGTATGTATGGCCACGTGTCCAGATTATTGTGTCTGGAGAATTACGACGTTCAGGTGGTATCAAATACGTTAGTCTCAAACTGTTTTGCTTTGTCTTCATAGAGCATGAAGTAAAAACCGGGGCTATACCAAAGTGATTTACTTTCGCATTGGCTAAAATTCCCTTTCAGGAGTACCAAAAATGCGACTATGCAGGGACAGTCCTCCTTGGGTGTTTTTCCAATCCTAAAAACATGAAGAATTCCTCATGTTTGCAGAACATCGATACAGCCTATGGGTCTGAAAAGTGAAGCAAGTGCGCAAAATGCCTTACATTTGCATTTATTAATTCATTCATCTCTTATTTGATCGGGTCCATTTAGGGATCACCACATCTCCCTTCATTTCACACAATTCCTAGGATCCTCTTTTATCACGTCAGACCTTTCTCTGCATGTCCTCTTTCACTACATAATTAATCTACTCTGTGGTCTTTCTCTTTTCCTCCTGCCTTGCAGCTTCATCTTCTCCAAGATATTCACTCTCCTGCTCATGCTCAAACCACAATCTTCAAAGTCTCTAGTTTCAGGTCATTCCAGATGAAATTTGAAGTTCTGGTTATTGTATTAGTATTAGGAATTACACTGGGTGCGGTCCTGCCTTAGCCAATCATTTCCTCCTAAGATGGTGCTTGTGATTCCACCAGACCTGCTTCACATTGCTGGTTCTATTGATGCTGTGTAAAAAGCAGATAAAGAGGGAAGCTGTGCAAAGGATGAAACTAAACTGCATGTGAAACATGGTGCTAATTTGTGCCTGGTGTATTCCTTGGGTTATCCAGGATATGCTAACCGGCTAATGACTTGTCAGTCCCCATGTACTGTGTATTGTACAGGAATAGTTCATTAACAATTTTTAAAAATCATTTTCACATCATTTCAATAATCTGCAGTTCATGATGAGCCACATTTTTAATAAGGGTGATCACTATCCTGACTTTTGTGTTGTTTCCTCAGACATGACTGTGAAAACTGTTCCACGAATCAATGATGGCAGAGTCATCAAACAGGAGAAAAGCCTCCTCACGAGGTCTTCTCAGCAATTATCGGTATCTGTGTAAAAAAGCCATGGTGCTCTGCGCCATGGAGAATGCAAGAGCCAGGAAGAGGCATCAGGAAAAGAGGATAATCGCCAACATGAAGATGAAAAGAACGGACGCCCACCATGAATCACTTGATACAAACGTATTGATCAAAAGGTCTAAAATGAGCGCTCCAGAACAGGAAAATCAAAGCACTTTGAACTCTGAAAGCACTGATCTATCCAAACATACATCAGTGTCTGGAACAGCTAACCACCACTCTGTCATTGCGGCCCTTGGAGATCGCTGGGAGATGGACAGTGGCTTCTCCTCTGAAGCCAGTCCTCCAGCCAGTGGTCGAAGTTCGCCGTGTTTCAGCTCCTGCCCGACTACAGTGGTGGCATTGGACTGTGAGATGGTGGGGACAGGGTCTGGAGGACGTTGCAGCGAGCTGGCCCGCTGCAGCATCCTGGACTATCATGGGAACGTGCTGTATGATAAATACGTGAAACCCTGTCAGCCTGTCACAGACTTCAGGACTCGCTGGAGCGGCATCCGAAGGCATCATCTCCTCAACGCCACACCCTTCATTCAAGCCAGAGAAGAGGTACGTCTGAGTGTTTGTAGACAACAGTGATGAACGATTTAACTTGGGCTCTAAAATAGAGACTGTTCTCCTGGGATAATCTGGTGGATTGAGGAGAAAAACTTCAGTTTAATCGTTTTAGGACACTCTGTCATCATGGGGGGAGGAGGACTGTATATCAGACTTTTGTTCTATCATGTGCCCAACTTGAGTTTTTATTTGAAGAAAGTGGAATCCTAACTTTTAATTTTTTCCCTTCAGCCGATAACCTTGGTGTTATCGTCACCCCACCGGCAGTGCAATAGGGTGGTGCTCAAATGAGCACAATAGGTGCATTAACTAAAACTCTTGGCCAAGTTTAAATCTCGATGAATCATCCCCTTTTTTTTTTCTTCCTTGTTTTGTGTAGTACCAGGCTGAAAGTGTAAGCATGCTTGGTCTTGCTCTTTATTTGTCTATTTTAACATGTTTAAAAAAATGTGGAAATGCAATGCACTACTGGAAGCTAATCGGGGCAGTACCGCTTATGTCGTCTGCCAAGACTAAGCTCAATACTAACGAAGAAGAACGTAGTGCGAACTGCAAAACAGGAGGACAGAAACAGATTTTAAAAAATATAAAAGCATTTCACAGAAAACAAAGTTAAATGCAAACTGTGTGTAGTCGAGCTTTCCTTCCACAACAGCACTGCTGCAGCGCACGGGCACTTAAAACATTGTCACTTGACTTTATGATGAGTTTAGAGCCCTTAGTCTGTCACAGGACATAAGTATGAAGACTTCAAGCTAGAGCCGCGAGAGACTGAATCTGCAAATTAGATTACAAATGAAATGCATGACAGCAGAAATCTAACCCCTGAATTCTGGAATTACTTCAGTAAACTTATTTGAATCTGTTACAGTCTAAAAATAAAAAATAAAAAATTTAATGTTAAGTAAATTGTCTTCCTCCTTGTTCCCTTGCATGGATTCTCACTCTCTACCTTAGATCCTCAGTATACTTGAAGGCAAAGTGGTCGTGGGCCACTCCATCTATAATGACTTTGAGGCACTGGACATGGTTCATCCCTGTCACATGGTCAGGGACACGAGTACAACGCGTCTCCTCAGCCGGTTGGCCGGTTTCCCCAGTAAATGCTGTCCCTCCCTCAGAACGCTGGCAAATAAGCTGCTGAACAGGAGCATACAGGTGAGAGCTTGAGATGAGAGGACGCTCCAAAACAAGTGATGAGCGGCTGTTTTGGAAAATTGTTCCTTTCAGGTCACAGCATTTTTCACTGAAGTTATTTTCTGGTATCTGAGACTAGATTTAGTAATATGCTCGTGTAACTGTTGTTGTAACCCTGTGGATCCTATCACTCCCTCAGCTTGGGAAGCGAGGACATTGTTCAGTGGAGGATGCTCAGGCTGCGCTCGACCTCTACAAGCTGGTGGAGGGGGAGTGGGAGCAGGAGGTGCAGAACAAGCTGAGGGATGACGACGCTCCACTCGAGCCAAGCTTCTCCTCATCAAAGCACTACATGCAGGACGAGTACTGGCCGGATGACATCATTGCTGATGGCTAATAGCAGAAAAGTAATGGTGGGACAGTGGGAAATACCTCAGCAGGCTCCTTTTGCGTGATGATGTTCGTAGTCATCAGAGCAGGTTCAGAGAGTTAATGGAAGTCCGATCTGAATGAATGTTAGAAATGTTAAATTGAAGGTGTCCTGAATCACTTTGGAGAGAAATGCCTTTAAAATGTGGAACAAAAACACTTTCTAACTTATTGCGTTTAACATGTTAAACATGTTCAGAGCTTCTAACAAACGATTTTTGGTTGTCTGTAGAAATGGTTGATCAAATTAGTCGTTCCAGACTTGATTGTATTTATAAAGTAAGAGTTGGTGCTCTTGCGTTTGAGGTTTGCAGTTCTCTAACAACTATCTGCTCTTACTTGAAAAATTCATCTATTAATTGGAAAAGATGACATAAATGTAGCTGTTCTTGAAAACACAAGATGAATGACTGCTTTTGAAATGTTAGTTACCGCCTTGATAGAAAAACTTGGAAATCACAAATATTACTATGAGCTGATATTGGTCATGTGGACTGATTTTAGCAGGGTTCGGTTAGTATTTTGATCATCTCACATTGTAAGCTGCTCTGAAATGTCCTAATAAAACTGCATCATGTTTAAAAACAAAAAGTCCCATTGTTTGATATTAGTGCTTGTGAGGATAATTTTAGAAGTTCACAATGCAGACACCTCCAGCCTCACTAAAGTCATTCCCTGATGATGAAAGACCTTTACTGTACATTCTTCTTTCAGGTTGGTTTCCTAAGCACACTGTGTCATATCAGTTCAGGTTGTGGGTTTCTGTTAGCACCAGTAGCATTACATAATGAAATCTCACTTTAAGTGTTGGGAAATAATTTGGGGATCATTCAGACCTACTATTAAGTGTCACAAATACAGGCTCAGCATGTGAAACGATGTGATGGCACCCTGGCCAAATAGGTTACAAAATCCCTTCCATAACCTGGCCCAGTATCCTCATTTAACTTGGCAAAAGCTGTTTTTAGAGGATAAGCCAAACAAAAGGAAACATACTTGTTTCCAGACAGCGATTTAACTAATGTGCACAATTTACTTTATGTAGGTGAGTGCATTAAGCTGCAGGTGGAGCTGTACATATGTTTTTACATCTCATGCTTTAATTCTCAAGCATCTTTATACACACATATACACAAATGCACACACCTAAAGGCTGGACTTGGCCCTAAAGCTCAGGCAACAAGGGAAGAACAGAGCATAGCATTGTTTGCACAATCCATCTAATTTTGCGCCACAAATCGCTTTATTGAGCAGATCAGACCTGAATTAGCAGATTACTGGTTGGTTGGCTGCCTGCACCTTCGTCATAGCATCATCAGTGACGTTAACACGGTCGGGGTCATTCTGTTTAGCTAAAACACAAGATTATTCATGTTTGAACAGAGAAATGAAATCGCCAATAATTTTTTTTTTTGATCATGCTTCACTGTGCTGCATAAAGATAACTTTAGACATTGGTCTCGCAAAATGAAGAAAGTGACTGTTTCATGCAAAGTTGTGTGCGTGAGAACTAATCAGATCACAGAGCAGTGTGGAAAGTTTAAGATCTTCTGTGGCCGCACATACGTCTACAGGCCTGTGGGCTTGTGTGTGCAGATATGCAAGAAAATGGTGTATATTTTGAACCTTATTCATTATCTTAGCTGCTTCCTTTATTCCATACGTGTGACATACCCAATAGAGAAAAGATGTCTGACAGTTTTTGCTTTTATTTTTTGCTCTTGGTCATCTTTCGGTTATAGCAATAAGATTTCCTGAGTATTTCACGTGTAAAAGCAACATTCAGAGGATGATCAACCATATGAACCTTTTGAAATGTTACCTACAGATGAAGGCGATACACTAAACATCGCAAGAAAATACAATCACAGAGTTATGCAAAATTGGCCAGCAATTTCTGCATCAACTTCCTCAGATTAGTAACCACTCTTCTATATAAAATTCACTTCCTTGGATAATGTTTCGAGTGCACTTGAGTTTATTATCCTGTTCCAAGACAGCTTCAGAGCGTGCACAGATGGCCTCCCATGACCCTTAAACACTATTTCGAGTTGCTGAGCCACTGAAACAACTAGAGACACATTTCCACTCCCATGCATTACTATTTTTACAGCACATCATTTTCCAAAATGTGTATTCTTTGCACGTACTGTATGTTTAGTGGAAAAGTGTGTTTTGGTACAAGAAAGGTTTTTTTTTTTTCTTGGCACACCTATAATGCACCTCAAACTTTGCAGTCTCTGATCGTGAACACATGTACTTTGAGACCAAAAGTTGTAATAGTTACCTGCAGGTACCCCGAGATAATTTTGGGGTTCTTGGAGACTGTTTTCCATCAGACGATCTGCACTTAGGGATAAAATTACTGGGATGGGAAATCAAACTGCCTGCAGTTTGAAAGATAAACCTCTTGTAGATGATCTTTCTTATAGTAGTTAAAAAACATTTTACTAATTCATGGACATTAAAATGTTTTGTCTGAAGGCCTTTAAGAGTTCTTTAGGTTTTGGTATGATGATAGCACAGAGTTCAATTGAAAGCAACCCCTTGATTTTTAAATAAAGTTAAATGTCATTAGCACGATGGAACCCCATATTCTAAGGTGTCATGGGTTTACGGGGGGTTTTGGGATTTCCAAAGAACTCCCATAAAGTTCATTCTGTTCATCTGGACGTAGAGTTTTCAGTGGGAGAAATGTTTCGTCACCCATCCAAGTGACTTCTTCAGTCTCAGCTGACTGCAGGTTTCCCCAACCTTATAAACATAATATTTGCATAACGACTGAAACTAGCTCCCTGGCAAACAACGGGCTGTGAGGTCAGTTTCTTGATCATTAATATTTTCATTACCATTGATCCAGAAAAACAAAATGAAAATTCTGGAGTGGCCTAGCCAAAGTCCTGACCAGAATCTGATTGAGATGCTGTGTCATGACCTTAAAAAGGCAGCTCAGGCTCAGAAACCAGTGTAGCTGAATTACAACAATTCTCCCAAGATGAGTGGGCCAAAACTCCTCGACAGCGCTGTAAAAGATTCATTTCCAGTTATTGCAAATGCTTGCTGAGAGTGGCTCAACCTGTTATTAGGTTTAAGGGGCATGTCTCGTGATTTGTCAGATAATTTATTTTAACATTTCTTCAAGAAGCCACCAACAGCACAAACACAGAGATGTTCAGTTCAGTGACTGGCCAACAGAGAAATTGTAATTTAGTTGCACTTTTGCGGTGGCTTAATTTTTCAGCTCTCTGGGTTTCTGCTCGACCCCAACAACTTGCATGAAATGTGATAAATTATGCAATTTAAGTTTGCAGAACCAGACTAACCACGTCTTCTCAATTATACCTCCAAACATGTGAAACAGAGCATTTGAACACAGTGTGTTCATCCTGGGGACTCAGCACTCACAATGGTCTCTGTTCACTCCGTTCAAGTCTCCTCGGAATGCAATCAAATCCCTCTTCTCCTTAAATCACTTCTGAACTGAAGGGTACACTTAACTTTACATCATCCTGGCCCTGCCTTTCATCACCGGAGCTCGTCCACCATTGGTTAAAAAAGCAACCCCATCACAGCTACTCCCCCCTTTTCCACACTCACTGCCTCTTTTATACTGATTGAAAAGAAAAAGGAGCCTGTTGGGTGTAATCTGCTGTGACGCGACTAATCCCAACACTACAAATCATAGGTCCCATCGACACTTCTCAGCACAGACCCTGTGACTCCCCGCCAGCTACTTCACGTCTGCCTCAGGTAGGAATCGGCCTTCTTTGCTCAGATGATGCTTCCAGTTGTATTCAGTTCCTTAACTCCTGTTGTTACCAGGCAGTGGATTTGGCTCAGCTTTACAGACTTCATCTTATGTAGTAGGATGAAATTATGGATGTTTTGCTGCCTTGTTTCTCTTTTATCTCGAGGTATCTAAAAGCAGATCATTCCAGCTCAAATCTTGTGCAGTGGGTGCATCATGGGGCTGACAGTGGTTAGGTTTGAGGCGTTTCCACTGAGACCGAGAGTCATAAAAATGCAAGCACTCGTGATACCACAGCTTTGAGCTGTGTAGCATGGTATTATAAAGACATATGGATGTTGCTGGTCTTTATGAATATATTTTATAAATGCTTAATAGACTATTAGAATGCACTTTCATTTTCTTTCAAGTAAATAACTGACCGCAACTAGGTTAGCTATTCAACTTTTGTTCAAATCTCCTTCATCAAGTGGTTGCATGCTGTATTATACTGTATGTATGCCTATATGTATGCACCATTGTACCAATTAAAGATTTTTTTGCTCTATATCTAACATTTTGCCCATCGACACCCACTGTGAGCCTGATGATTATGAAACTAAAAGGCTGTCAAGCTTAACTCTCCTGATAAGTCACCCAGGATTGGCAAAAGCTAAATATAGCCAAAAAGGTACCATGTGAGAGCAGAGAGGATGGGATAAAAGGGATTTAGAAGGACTACAGTGTGTCAGTTTTTAAGATTTAAGTGGGATTGATAAGAATCACAAGTTACCTCTTCTTTTCTTCCAGACAGGACAAGGACATTTTTAAAGAGAAGACATGGCTGTAGTCGTGAGTATCTCCACTTTTACACTCTTAAACAGACAAACAGGACAGCATTCATAAGGACAAACATCTATTCTCCATCTCAGATGGATTCAGCTGCAGCTCAAAACTTCCCAAAGGCCCATTGTTGCAGACACCAGCGATAGCCACAGTTTCTTTAGCTGCTAATCTCTGATCCCTGCTTCAGGTCGAATAGTGGTCCTCACCATGTATTTACAAGCTTTGCAGGACTCATGTGAGGGAGATTAACCAAAACACTGAAGTCTATTGATTGCGGACCTGCAACACTGGTGGACAGGCATCCTGTCTCACGTGGATTAGACGTGTTTTAAAGCTCACACAGCAAAACCCAGTCTTGTGAGAGAGTTAAATTGACATGACGAGGTACTCGGCTTTTATCCAAAGTGCTGCGCAACTTAAAAGTTTTCCTGCAGACACGTGAAACATAAACATCTTTGTGCTCACAGGGAAACGGTTTTCCATCAGCCATTATAACAAACTGCAACATCTTTAGTTAGTCTCCCCCATCACAGCAATTTTGACAGGTGACACTGCTGCCATTAAAAATGAATGTGCTTCATTCACCTGTGCCACTAAGCCAGTGAACATCCATAATGTCAAGATCCTGGAAATGGCACACCTAAGTGGAATGCATCCATTTTTAATGATGGTAATCATACCTGTGCCTTCTTACTATGATAAAATGTTTGCTCTGAACAGGGCCTACTGGGGTTTGTGTTCAAAAGCACAACTTTGTCTGTTGGTTTAAAGCATTTAATCTTTACTAAAGTGGATATAGCATGCTCAGTTTCATATTCATTTCTTGACCACAACTAGAGTAGCTTTGAATTGAGATCAGTTCCACTTATCCTTATTTTGCAGTGGGGTGGGGTGGTGGTGTTGGGGGTGTAGAGTGGTGGAGCCTATCGCAGCAATCATAGGGTGAGAGGCAGGGTACACCCTGGACACATCGCCAGTCTGTCACAGGGCTAACACCGAGAAACAGCCACCCATTCACACTCAGACCCATGGCCAATTTAGAATCATCAATTACCCTAAAGTCCCACCATATGTCTTTGGACTGTGGGAGGAGGCCTGAGACAACCCACCCAAACACAGGGAGAGCATGCAAACTCTACACAGAAAGACTTCGGCAAGATGGTGGAGTCAAACTCAGGACCTTACTGCTGTGAGGCAACAGCATTAACCACTGCGCCACCCGCTGCCCTTCAGTTCAGTTCAATTAGTTCCAAATCACAACAACATTTACCTCAACATTGTAAGGCAAGGACCCTACAATAATACAGAGAAAACAACCAGGCCACCCTTATGAGCAAGCACTTGGCAAAAGTGTGAAGGAAAAACTCCCTTTAACAGGAAGAAACCTCCAGCAGAACCATGCTCAGTGAGGGTGGTGGGTGAGGGCAGGAAAACAGGACAAAAGACACACTGTGGAAGAGAGCCAGAGATTAATAATAGCTAATGATTAGTCAAGTCAAGGCCACTGGAGAAAGCCCTGTCACCTTTAGATTTGAACTGGGAGTGTGGAACTAATAAAAGCATCTGACTGGAGGAGCGCAGAGTTCGAGTGGATAGGTGCAGGCTAAGAAGTAAGATTAAATGCAAAGTTGTGTATAAACATGAACACATAGTGAGTTTAAAGAAGTGAATAAAAAAGAAACACTTTGTGCATCATGTGCACCTATTGTTGCATAACTAAGAAACTAAGAGAGGATTCAGGGTCACTTGATCCAGTCCCAACTATATGCTTTATCAAAAAGGAACATTTTAAGCCTAATCTTAAAAGAAGACAACGTGTCTGTCTCCCGAATCCAGACGGGAAGTTGGACTTTGGGAGGTCATTTGATTGTAAATTTACTAGTCCATTTGTTTCCCTGATTAAGTGTCTTTAAATGTTTCTGAGGAATTTGAGATTACAGGACCAATAGATTTTCTCACTATAAATAAACATTTATACACAACCATGACAAGCTGTAATAATATCTTCTGTCCTCAGAGTGGAACTTACCGTATGGTGTCAGAGGAGGAGCAGGCGCTCAGGGCCAAGCTAGAGCGTCTGACTGTCAAGGACCACGGACCAGTTTTTGGACCCTGCACCAACGTGCCAGACCACACAATGCAGAAGGTGATCAAAGAAACCTTTGGAATAAGATCAAGATTCATCAGAGTCACATCAGGACAAAAAACTCTTTAACAAGCAAAGGAATTGTAATGCAATGCCAGAACAACCCCAGTAAAACCTCCAGGTTTCCTTTTGTTAAAAGGGAGTTTTTCCTTCCCACTGTTGCCTAATGCTAGCTCATAGGGAGTCATCTGATTGTTGGCATTATCCCTCTATTATTGTAGCGTCTTTACCCCATTTTACGCTAGATAAATGACTCTAAATTGAAGTTTGTTTTCATAAATAAAATTAAAGTTTGAGAATATACAACTTTCAATGGTTTACTTATTAACAATGTCCAGTTTTTTGAAGGTACATCTTTGTGTTGGTGTTCCAAATTGGGAAAAAACATTAAGGCTTCATTAGGATGTGCAATACCCTTTCACAACAATAGGTGGCACCAGAAATGTAAAACTTGGGATAGTAGCCCTCCAATTGTTTGTCTTAAGTTACAAATTGGAAGCAGTGACTTTAACCTCCTAGGACCTGGCATCCACATATGTGGACATCACATTTTGGGTTATTTAGACCAAAATACTAAATTTTGCTCTACAAGGGCCTGATATCCACTTACAAGGACATTATACTGCCTCTGTCTTATCAAAATTGAAAACGAATATCCTCATATGTGGCTCTCATCTTTCTTGGAAAAGAAATCAAGTAAAAACTAATAATAATCTGGTGATTCTTTGTTTTTACGTTCATCGGGTTCCAATCAGCCCAAATATCAAAGATTAAAAATGCATGCCATGGAAGAGTTCGGGTCTTAAAGCTGGCATGTCATTCTTAATTGTGGTTAGACCACTACCCTATCCTATCTAAATTATCACCTTGTATCTGGTAGAACACAATGGTTTGATCAGTACGACCAACTTTAAGGGCACAAGTGAAATGAAACATGGACCATATTTGTGAAAATAAACCCTTATACAACCAGGACCACTCAAATATAATCTGTGAACTAACTGCCTGGACTGGCTCCTCTCTGCAGGCCAAGGATGAGCTGAATGAGACCGATGAGAAGCGGGTGTCAGCAGTGAAGGAGTTGCGAGCAATTATTAAGGAGAAGGCAGAAGGTGGTGATGATCTGGCCAAGGGGGTGCAGGACACCTTCGGGGAGAAACCAGACAACATGCTGACCCGCTTCATTCGTGCCAGGAAGTACGACGTGCCCAGGGCTTTCGACCTTATGAAGGGTAAAATGTTCAAAATGAGCGGCTGAAAGTGGCAGATCTAAATACATGCACATCATTTCTTCCTCTGTGCATCTAAGCGTCATTATGGTATCAATTCTGAAAAGTCATGTAGCCTCACAAACATATGATTTTATCATAAGGATCCAGGTTAAAAAAAGAAATTTAAAAAAAAAAAATCTACCACCTGTAGTTAAAAAAAGCATTTTTCAAAGATGAAATGTAATCTAATAGGCTTCCTGTGCTTCTACTCAGGTTATGTGCGTTTTAGGAAGGATTACCCCGAGCTGTTCGAGAACCTGACCCCTGAGGCCGTGCGCAGCACCATCGAGGCCGGCTACCCCGGCATCCTGCATAGCAGAGACAAATACGGCCGTGTGGTCCTGCTTTTCAACATCGAGAACTGGGACTACGAGGAGATCACCTTTGACGAGGTATGGTGACTCATTTCTTTTATTACACAGGAAGCTTATGTATTTTTGTCCCATCTCTGACAGGAGCTTACTAGAAGATACTATAAATATAAAACATGTTTGTCTGTGTGCATTCAGATCCTGCGCGCCTACTGTGTGATACTTGAGAAGCTTCTAGAGAACGAGGAAACTCAAATCAATGGATTCTGTATCATTGAAAACTTCAAGGGCTTCACCATGCAGCAGGCATCAGGAATCAAACCCACTGAGCTCAAAAAGATGGTGGACATGTTACAGGTGGGGGGGAAAAAATCCATTATTTTGGTTGAATTACTTTAGAGGAGAAGTAAGTAAGTAAGTAAACTTTATTTATTAAGCGCTTTTCAGACAGACAATCACAAAGCGCCGTACACAAATATTAAAATAAACAATAAAATCAATAGACATTATATACAATGTAAAAGATCAAATGTAAATAATGTAAAAAATATAAAATATGTAGATCAACAAAAGGCTTGTTTGAACAGAAGAGTTTTTAACTGTTTTTTAAAAGAATCCACAGAGTCAAGCAAACATAAATGTAGTGGTAAACTGTTCCACAGCCTTGGTGCAACAGACTGAAAGGCTCTGTCCCCTTTTGTCTTCAGTCATGTACGGGGAACAACTAAGAGACTCTGAGTCTGTGAGCGGAGATGACAAGCAGCAGTGTATTTTATAAGAAGCTTGGATAAGTAATCTGGAGCCTGGCCATTTAGTGCTCTGTATGTTAAAACAAGAATTTTAAAGCGAATTCTAAACTCTATTGGGAGCCAATGTAAAGAATATAAGATGGGAGTGATGTGAACACGCTTGGTAGAGCGAGTTAGTAGTCTGGCTGCTGCGTTTTTTATTGTCTGGAGGCGAGAGAGAGATGATTTATCCAAGCTAGTAAACAGGGAATTACAGTAATCTAAGCGTGATGACACAAATGCATGAATGAGTTTTTCCAGTTCAGCAGAGGAAACCATATGTCGCAGTTTAGATATGTTTCTTAAATGATAGAAACAGGAACGAGACAAGGATTTTACATGAGAGTCGAGGCCCAGAGAAGAGTCAAATATTAATATTTGACTTGACAGATGGACAGAAAGAGGCAAGAACCTGACTGATTTTAGAATGTAGCTCAGGAGGAGCTATGATCATGGTCTCGGTCTTGTTAGTATTTAGAACAAGGTAGTTGCTTGAAAGACAATCAGAAACCTGGGTTAAGCACTGGACTAGGGTGGACAGCCTATCCAGCTGATGAGGCTTAAAGGGCATATGGAGCTGAATGTCATCAGCATAAAAATGATAAGACAGGTCGCTAAAAGATTGAATGATACCAGCTAAAGGAAGCATATAAAAAGAAAATAGTAATGGACCTAAAACTGAACCCTGTGGGACACCACAGGTCAGGGCAGCAATGTCAGAGGTGAACCTGTCAGTCCTAACAGAAAAGGTCCTGTCTGATAAGTAGGAAGAAAACCAGTCTAGGGCAGAGCCAGATATACCAGCCAAAACCTTGAGCCTGTTAAGTAGGATTTTGTGGTCGATAGTGTCAAAGGCTGCACTAAGATCAAGCAAAATGATCACAGAACAGTTCCCTGCGTCAGATGCCATTAATAGATCATTATAGACTCTTAAGAGAGCGGTCTCTGTAGAGTACTACTTTTGAAAGCCAGACTGAAAAAGGGTCAAGAATGTGTCATTTACATAATAGAGACCTGAACTGATTTTCAACAATTTTTTCAAGTAATTTACTTACAAATGGCAATTTTGAAATAGGTCGGTAATTACTAGCAGAGTTACCTCAGCATGTTTAAAATAAGATGGAACACAGCCTTGCCTCAGTGAACTGTTGATGATCAATGGACCAATGCTGGTGATAGACCCGGACAGGACAGAGTGAGGTAATATATCTACAGAGCATGATGAGGATTTCATTTTACCTAAAACTATAATTAAGTCATTTAGTGTGATTGGAGAAAAGGAGGTAAATGATCCAAGACAGCAAGGGGTATCTTCATAAGGGGAGGCACTTGAGGAAATTTTGGATTTCAAGTCCATCACCTTATTTACAAAGTAATTAAGCAAAGTATTACAATCTTCATCAGAAAGCAACAGAGCATGCTGGGTTGGAGGAGGAACAATACTGTTGATGGTATCAAATAGAATTCTTGAATTATTTTTATGACGATTTATAAGATTATTGAAGTAAGAGGATCTGGCCTCTTTGACTGATTCATTATATAGGTAAAGTAGGTCTTTAAAGTGCTCACGATGGACAGTCAGACCGGTGGACTCCCACAGACGCTCTGCTTTTCGTCTGTGGAAGCAGAGCGTCCACAGCTCAAAAACCATTGTATAATAGAGTAGTCAAACAAAGTTTCAACACTTTGACTTGGCATTCATTTATGATGGATTTTTAGATTCCTTGCCCTTCATCTTGCTCTTTGTGTTCCACCAGGACTCATTCCCTGCCCGTTTCAAAGCTGTGCACTTCATCCACCAGCCCTGGTACTTCACTACCACCTATAATGTGGTCAAACCTCTCATGAAGAGCAAGCTGCTGGAGAGAGTGAGTCAAATGAATCATATTCAATGACAACATAGATTGGTTTTAGTCCTTGTAGAGAGCATTAATGGCAGACATTAAGGGGGTTTGCAATGCAAACTGTGACCACTGTTGCCCCTTAAGTCTCTGATATGTAAACCTATCATCAGCCAAGCTCAAGATATCCTTTATATTTTGGTTTGAGTGCAGGAGAGCTGTAATATGCAACGTGACAGCATCTGACTTGACATGAACCTGCTTGGCAAAAAGTAGCAAAAACAGTTTTGCATTTTTTCTAATAAAACAAGACTTTCATACATACTCGACAGTCAAGTACCACTGTATTAATTCAATAATGTGTTGGTCTGGATCCTTCAGTTTGCTTCTGAAAGGATTTTGATGTGTGTTTCACTCTGATTAACAGAGCTGAATCTAATAACCATAATGCCACTCTAAAAATTGGTTTTATGGTGCGCTTAAGCAATACGTTTGAGTCTGTCAGGATATTCGATACAAGGATATTAAATTAATTTATGTCTTTGACATTTGGCTGCTGAAGGATAGCACACACTTTTAAGCATCTCTAACAGCTGTGGATGTTCGTTTTAGGTGTTCGTGCACGGAGACGAGTTGGAAAATTACTACAAGGAGTTTGATGCCGAAATTCTCCCTGCCGAGTTTGACGGAAAAGGTCCCAAGTACGACGGCAAGGCCACAGCAGCCAAGCTGTTTGACTAGACATCCTCAGTCCTTTTGCCAATGAGGTCGAGAGCCTTTACGTATTATAAACCCTATAGACTGTGAAGAATCAACGCCCAATCTAGCTGTGTGGTTGTAGGAACTAAAGTTATGAATGAAAGTCGTGACTGTGTTAGAAGGTAAAATGATACTGTACTGCACAGGTCCTGGTAAAGCACATTCAAGACAAAAACTAGACAAGCCATCCCAGTGACACCGTATAGTTTGAATTTTCTAGTTGATGACCATCAAAAGTGCCATACATGCTCCAAATAACTACAGAGTGCATGCACTTCATGTATTTGCTTGTCTTTCTTTGAAAGTCACTTCTAACTCATTACAGTGAACATTTTAGTGTTTGTATTTATTTACTTTTTGCCAATTCTGTATTTTGTTTTTAGCAGAATAAACAGTCCAGTCCAAATTATCTCGCTCAGGCCAGGACTTTTTTTCGTTGGTGCAATTAAGATAAATTTTAGTCCAATTAGCATCAATCTTGTCACAGGGTTCCCCTTTTTATCACTAGAACCATAACCAATAAATAAATAAATAAATAAATGCAGATAAGTAAATGTACACAGTGGTGGATTAGCTGTGACAATCACTTTTAGTTCATTCCAAACCCAAGTACATGGACTGAATGACTGGCTGCCTTGGAGCGATCTTAAAAGAAGAAGAAGAAGAAGAAGAAGAAGAAGCAGAAGAAGTAGCATGGTTTGGTACTGGTGTGAAGTGTACAGAAGCTTATGATTAGCAGACCAAAAAAAAAAAATCAAAGTCATATATGTGATTATCTTATCACATACAGTGTTTTTCCATTACGCAAAAACACTGCCAATCCTGACCGGCTCTGAACACCACATGTTATGTCTCCGTTTTGTCAAACTGTGCTTTCTCTGGACTTAAATTCACCCACACAGATGGTTTATTACTGGCAGGCCCCAGCTTTCTCAGGACCCAACCTCTTACCCCTGATCATCTTCTTGCACAAGGCTGGTATTCCAACAAGTGCCTCTCTTTCCTGCTTTTCTTTCTTTTTTTTAAGACTTCTTCAGTAAGGTATAATAAAGTTTGACCCATTGTGCTACCCAGTGCACCAATAACAATGTCAATACATGTACAATAAACTGTTAATAAATGCAAAGGGTTGTGACTTTGTTGATGTAGAAATACACAAAAGGAAACAATATGTGAAAATCACTTGTAAACAGGCTGCGCACCATGAAAACACCCACATTTTCCTTCATTTTCTACATCATAATCATATGTTCAAGAATGCAGACAAGCCCCTGTTATGTGAAATGAGACTAAAAAGAAAAATCTTGTCAAGTAACTTGAAAAAACTCATTCATCCGGGAACAAGTTAATGAAGAGTAAGTTTTTACATTTTGCACAATACCCCATCAGAAAATGATTGTGAGAAAAGACAATTGAAACGTCTTAATTTATAATATCACACCAATAAAAATGTGTTCATTTACTTTTAATTGTCAATGACTCTACATAGTGCATTGAAGACAATAAAGTGCGAGCAAACAGTGAAAAAGTCAGGACATGTTTGTGGTGCTGTTGCATGACATTTGACTTCTGCAGAGCAGATACAAGTTGCATAATTTGGAGGCTACATAGACTGGGTGGAGTCCACTGAGAATGTAACTCACAGGAAACTGACCAACCTCAAAAGTCCTTAACATGATAATAAGAGCTCAGAATATTAAAAACAAGCAAACCAAAACAGCAAAAACATTGCATTTGTGCCCTCACCAGCTTAGCTGGTGTTTGAAACCTTTGAAATCACATAATTCTGGTGGAAATTTACAGTACCGTGACAGTACAGGAGTGTTTTTTTTTCTTTCTCACAATTCAGAAAATAAAAAATATAAAAATCCACCCCCCTGTCCTTTTTTGTCAGTGACACTAATCATCTTCAATAGAGCGATACTCTTAACTGTCTTTACCTTTTATATTGCAAACACCACCATCCAGTAGGCAGCAATGAACAGCTATGAACAACAACAACATCCTCCCCCAAAAGGTAATCGATGCTAAAGTTTAATATTAAGTCACTACAGTGTTTAAACTGAAGCCATGCCTGGTATATGGAACATAATCGTGACCAAGAAGAGACACATTCAAAATGTTATCACCTTCGAAACATACCGTAAACAGCCGTTTATACCACCACACCTGTCACTTCTAGTTAAATTATTTCTACGCTGGGAGTTATTAGTTATTTATAAGTTTTGGGTAACCAGAGTTCTACACCAGGAGGCTTTACAGTAAATTGATTGATTCATGGAATGGTTGGATCTACAAGTACATGTTTCAACAAACCAGAAATGTTCAGTTGGGTCTGTTTTTGTCTACCCTAAATGCAGACTGAGAGTCCACTGGAGAAAATTGAGCATGAAAACCTACCAAAAAATATCTGTAAAACATTACCTGATTTGAGAGATTAAATCACATTCTTATCAGATGTTTTTCTTTAATAAACAGCAACATCCTCTTAGTGAAAATGTACTATTTCAATTAAAGGACTTCAGAACAGGACAGAACCAAAACATCATTAAAATATTATTTGAAAACTTGAAAAAAAAAGTCCACCTTTTCTTCTTTCTTATGGCAGAATTCAAATTACACACCCTGCTTTAGAGAATAAAGAAAGAAGTACCTGCCAAAAACCAGCAGAGGGCAAACTATTGTTAACCTGAGAGATAAAAAGAACAAAAGCAGAAAGAACACTTCTGCTTGGGATCACATTACACTCACCTGTGCGATCACCTCTGTAGGTTTTTATTTCTAATCTGGTTTAACCACTTCCACTCAGGCTGCCTTGTCTAATCATCAACAAGTTCCAGAATCATGTAGCTGTAAGGCCAAAAGTGCTGAAGCTGAGCAGGTACAGCAAGCTGTCTTTGTGCGTTTGTCTCTGGACTTGTATGTAAGTGCAACTCGCAGAGTGGTATTGCGTGCTTCCATACAAAAAGTTCATGTCCTACTCGCTGCTACTCTGACAGACCGACTGCTTCTTCTCCCAGCGGCAGACGGCGTTGGTGTACTCCACTATGACCTTGTCCATCCAGGTGAGGGGCTGAGGGAACAGAACAGCTCCCTCGAAAAAGCCCATGTGGCCCCCATGTTGAGTCAGGGCAAATACCACATTGGGCATTTTCTCTAAAAGGGGAAGACAGTTAGGAAGAGAGAAGTATAAAGTTTCAGTTCACCAAAAATCTGTTCCCGTCAAAGACCAATTTTTAAGAAGCTAAATGACGCCAAAGCTGTGACGAGTCCAAATATCCAACCATGAAGATGATCATGTTTTTCAAAAGAAACTGACTGCACAGATTATAACTTGAATCTTGATACAGAACCAGTAGAAAAGTAGACAAAAATTTAAAGAATTAGAATTCATGACTACTTGAAGCGTAAAAACTTTACATGAATACGAAGACTTTTACAAAACAAGAATCTCCCATGTGAGGCAAGACAAGGCAGCAGGTTGAGGCCAGACACACACACAGGTCCCTGTATATAACCCAACAGCTCAGGTGGATCACATGGCCCTGAAAAATTCAACAAGACTGTCTGGGGAGGGTGTGTTGAGCAGATAGCTGCATCAAGACTTTATCAACAACTAAGACTGTGTTGCGAGTGCCCTGTTAACCCGCTTCATGCTGCTCTGAGTTAGCACCACTGTGAGGACAGCATTTTCACCAGACTCTACATCACCTCTGTGTTGCATGCCATGAAATAATATCTTTAATATTTGTTATTAAAGGTTTGTATGGAAGCATATTTTAAACTTGGTGTCAAGGAAAGTCTTTAAGCTGTTTTACGTAAAACAACTTAAAAAAGACTTTCCTTGACTTTCTCAGTTCCTTTCAACAACATGTTTTCTATGTTGAAGACTCAAATGTTCCATGTAAATCCACAGGTTGTAATGTTCATATTCACTACAATGCTTATTTCCTCTTCTCTGTTACAATTTAACTACTGACTGATAACTAGCTAACATCAAGTTAGACACGCCAACAGCCTGCCTCCAGTACAACACAACACAATCACAACTCCCCTCCCAAAAAACAAACAAACCTGGCTTCTTCAAGCATTGTGCAGGAAGAAATCTGAATAGCCAGCTAGCCACATATGCTAGGTAGCTAAGAAAACATTACATAGTTAACAACAGTGATAAAAAATTAGCTTGAGGAACTCCACAAAATTAAAACAAAGGTTGCTCTGTGAATGCCCTACCCAGTTTTACTTCAACATGCCCACTGGCCAAGACTTCACCACGTTCACTAAATAAAACCATACATGGCAAATATCAAACATAGACACAGTTACAGGTGTTATTAGGAGGAATCCTTGTTAGCTTGTCAGAATAGAATAGAATCAAGTGACTATTAAATTCTTCTATTCTAATAAACTGCTAGCTATCTATAATTAAAACATACCACGAGCTATCTTTCTTGTTTGCCTGCTAACGTGGGCAAATTATCATGGCAGCCAGCTTTAAGCTAGCCTGTTACAAAGACAACCTTTAACTACCACTGACTCACACTGCAGAAGGAGTTTAGACAAAAACCACAAACCTGCAAGAGTGCGTGCAACAGCCAGTAGTGATGGATGAACCAGTGGGTCATCCAAGGAGTTTAGCAGGAGGAGTGGGACAGTGATCTGTAAAAAAAAAAAAAAAAAGAGTAGTCCAGTTTATTTATTAATTTTTTAGAATACCTACTTATACATTATTAGTACAGACAGTACAAAAGATAGAAGTAACCGTCACTGGCACTTCTGTGCTAATGTCACACAAGCTACGCCCACATTTTATATTGTCTACCATTACACTTTTATAACAGAATAATATAACAGTGATAAGAGAAGTAGTATTCAACCACACCTGGACTTAATTATGTATGATTGCTATCCAAGTATGCTAGATCAGGTGAACAATAAATATAGCAGCAACAGTATTTAACAGTAGTCCAAACATGAAGTCATTGCAGAACTAGTAATAGAGGGATAGATGTGTTGAGCTCTGTTACATACACGGATAGGTACTTGTCACTCACTTTGTGGATGTAGTGCACACAGCTCTCCTTCTCATAGTACTCTCTCAGTGAGTCATAACCGTGGAATTTTCTGAAGTGAAAAATGATGCGATAACATACTTAAAGAGATGGCCCACAGAATTTAGAGCAACCCATCATATTCAAAGCCCAGAATATTTCACCTCATAATGCTGTCATCAATCTGCATCAAAGATGTGGCTGCATACAGTCTGTTCAGCTCTCCATCGCCAATGTTGCTGCACTGCATGGCCAGCAAACTGTCCCTGTTTAATAATATGACATTTAGACAAAACCAACGCAGGAGACTGTGTCTTTGTTTGGCTGAGAAGTGCTTTTCATCTGATTCTCCACAAATGACTCACAGATCTACATTTTAGATAACAGATTTAGGAATTTCTGGCAAATTTTTCAGAATTACGCTAACATTTAAGAATTTCTACTCTATCAGACAGAGATAATCGAGAAAATTTTGTGTCTGCAGAAAGCCACTCCAACAATTAGCAGAGAAAAGATTCATGCTTGTGTCTGAGCTACAGAAAAGCAAAAAGCTGCAGTACTTTATGACTAAATGACATTCTGATCAAATTTAAGAGTATTACGTATCTGTAACCATTAATCAATAACTGTTGTGTTGCTCCACCTGTGCGACAGAATGATCTTCTTCATATTCTCCGCCAACATAAAGTTGTAGAGCCTCCGGCACTGGTCCCACTGAAGGAAAGTTTCCTGAGCCCTAAACACACACAAGCAAATGCACATGAATACAAACATACTGTGGAACCACATTACAAACTAAAGTCACTACAGCAGTAGTCTGATCCATCATATCACTATTATATTTTAACTATTGTAAATATCAACACTGCAAATTATTTAACCCCAACACTATTATGGTGCTGCTTAACACAAAACTTTAAATTAAGTTATATAACCTAATATTGCACTCAGTACCTCCAAGCAATCCAAAACAAATGTAATGGGTCCGCTTAATACGATCATATACAAGCGCAGTAATGACGCTTATGCCTCAGTTCAATAAGAAAGATCTGTAATCACTCATCTGCCTGCTTTCATGGATGTTTGGCTGTTAGTCTATTTCTTTCATCACTTCCACGCTTTCAAATCCACTGCTGACACCATTACTCTAATCCAATCATCTTCTTTCCTCTGATGCCTCTTGACTCTGATTGGTGGAACCCACCTCCCCCTGGTCACTCAGACCTCCATCCAATCCTCCATCTTCAATCCCATCAGGGCCTAGACTCGTAATGCCTATCAGCGCTGACAGCCTGCTATGACGGCTCATTGGTCTAATCGCCAAAAAAGCTTAAGTGAATTCAATGCTGCCAAATGATCACCACTCACTGAATGTTGTTTACCACAGAAATAATCCCTCTGAATAATGTATACTTTATTACTTTATTCATCCCCGTGGGGAAATTCCTCTCTGCATTTAACCCATTCACTCAGTGAAGCAGGGTGAATGGCAACATGACAACGTGTAATACTTTCTTGAAGCAAATCTCACAAGAACCATTAAGAAACAACTTTAGGAACTTATTTGGGAACTTGATTTAAAGAACAGCTAAATTAACTGTCATTTCTTTGGTCCCTGCATGTAGAAGATCACTAGTCAAAGCTGATAAAAACTGCTTAAGAAATTTACTGACATTCCCCTTAAAGAGGCATTATTAACATTTTTACCCCCTTGGAAATTAACTCTATCACCATCTTTGTACTTTGTACTTCTATCACCATCTTTGCCGCTGCAGAATTCCCTAAGATTCAATTTAGGTTTCACTGAGTGCTGTCTTCTTCTCTAACAAAGTCTCTGACTGGAACCGTACCAAGGATGCTTTTTTCACAAGCTTTTTTCTTTTTCTTTTCAAAGCTCTGATAGTCCTGATAAAACAGAGTCTTCTCAGTCTCCTTTCTTTCCTGTGTTTCAGAGTAAATAAACCCCGTTTCAGTATTTATCAGAGTTCAACATGATCACCTCAGTTTCACTCGTGACGGCAGAGCAACGCTGACAACAACATGACCCATTAGTCTTAATTGTGTTAATCCTTCAGTCAGTTTACCAACCTGAGGGCACTGTAACCCTGGCAGACGCTGACACAGCATAGCACTCTGTCCTGGTTTGACTGGTTTTCCCCCAGGAACTTACAGACGATGTTTCCTCCCAGACTGAACCCCACGACCACCAACAGAGTCTGGGGAAAAGTGCGTTTTATGTAGTCCACCATAGCTCCAAACTCCCAGGTACAACCTGAAAGTAAAAGAGTTGCTTTTACAAATGTATAGCAGTAATATATACTCGATATGACAGATTAATATATATTTATAACATTATGCTTCTTGGGAATCTGGTTTTATTTGTCAAAAGATTGATTTTGGCAGGATTGCACATTATAAGGTTCTTTTTTTTTAATCCAAGTAATGTTAAAAAATATCATAAAAACAGACAATGTGCCAATAACTTTTTACCGTATGTAAACATGCGTGGTGAGGTGAGCTCAACATTAGGCAGGGCTCCCAGGTGGTTGAGGACGGCACAGCGGTAACCCTGCCGCTGGGAATAATCCACAAAGGTCCGGATGTAGTTCTTCTCACTGTGGTTACCAATCCCAGGACAGATTACCATGGTAATGTCATCTGGCACCCACACAAAGACACAAAAGAGTCTGGATGTGCAACTACATTTAAATTGGAGTCATGAGCTTGTGTAAAAGTCGATGTCATGTGCACTGTAGTGTGTGTGCGGATTTAACCCCACTGAACTACATTGCTGGCATCGTTCCTCGAGGGAGTTCATTAAAGTTGTCGCTGCTCGCTCAAAGTGTAGCAGGAGCTGCTTGTTACATGAGACTGATGTTCTCTCGGTCCAAACAAGCACATAAAACTCAGGAGGAATGAAATGAAAAGAAAAGCACCTCAACTAAACAACAATCAGGAAGCTCTTTAAGTACCAACACATCAGCCGTTGTGTAATTAAATACCCCGAAAACCAGCTGATTTGGTGGTTTAACAGGAACAAAGTAGTTTTTGCCTCTGACCTCCAGTGGTGTGGGCTCCAATAGCTTCAAAGAGGTCAAAGGTAGCCGTAGCACCATCCTGCATTGGGAGGAACATGCGAACCCCACAGGGCGTTGGAGTTTTGACACGTCCCATCTTCCCGTAGAGCACCGTCTGGATGTGACCGCTCTTCCCCCACAGCAAGGGAGGAATGTATCTGAAAAGAAGGACAAGGCCCATATTATGTAACTGGAAGATGCTTCAGAAGATCATCAGTCTGACAAGCCAGGCACACTTTGAGAGTGCTCTTTTTTTTTTTTTAGGTGTTCAAATTACATGACTCCAGCGTGCTTAAATATGAAGAGTGCCAAAAATATGTAGCCAAATAACATTTAGCAGAAATTAAGTTCACATCAGGTATGCGGTTGGCCAACATACCGCTCCTTCCTGTCCAAAAACAAACAGCTGAGAATTTTCCTTATCTTTATCTACTTCATAGTGTGTACTAAAAAACAGCACACCCACTGTGCAAACAGAATCTTTACAGAAAAACAAAAACAACCTAAAAAAACTGAAAGTAAACTTGGAGGTTTGGAGAAAATCGCCAAACCTCACTAGGATGGATTGTGGATCAGGGCTACATTAGCTTAGCCCATCCACGGACACTCCTTCTAATGAATGACATGTTTCTTTGAATAGTTGTGCAACATTATTGGAAGGGGTGTGAGGTATGTTTTGTCATCTTTGGTGAGTGAGTCAGAACTGTTACCCAACCGCTAGCTAGATTTTTATCATGGCCAGTGCACACTCTAGGTCATAGGTGTCAAACTCTGGTCCGCGGGCCAAATTTGGCCCGCAGCCTAATTACATTTGGCCCACAAAGCCATACCAAATTACTATTAGAGCTGGCCTACTGGTATTATACAGCTAATATATATATATTGTTTAGTATTAAGCTTTGCTTGCTCCATATTCAGTTTTCCAGCAAAACTTATTTGAGTCCATAAGAAAAGATTCATTCTCATATCTGGAGGAAGATTTTTTTTCCAATAAATATTAATGTTAGCCCGCGACTTTGTTCCAGTTTTGAATTTTGGCCCACTGTGTATTTGAGTTTGACACCCCTGCTCTAGGTGAAACACTTACATAACAGGACAGGATGTTTAACGCACCACTGTTTTTGTTTAAATAAATGTTTTGCTAAGTTCTTTCAGGGTTGAAGGCAGCCCTGAAAGTAATGTAGAGCCCAGGTTTTTACAACGCAGAAGAAGCTGTGGACTATCTCTGATATAATCTGGATACTATGGATCAACCACTTAGCAGCACTTGATGGCTGCTAGTGGGGCATTTATTTTAAGGCCAATATCTAAATAAATGAGGATATCCATCCATCCACTGTTGCCTGTCTCTCTATCAATAGATAGATATTGACTCAAATGTATTGAAAATGCTTAGAAAGGTTGGTAAATTTCCTCCAAAAAAATATTTCTAAAGTTTTCTTTCTCCCCGGGAAGCTTTTTTCCTACCATGTATGTGGAAAATTACAGTTTCACTAATGGATCAGCTCAGCCTAAATTGTAATTCCTGGCTCATTCCACCAGAGAACAAATGGCATGTATATTCACATTATGGTCAGAGTAAGAGAAATGAAAGTACATTCGTGAATGGATGTTATGTCTCCAAACAGCTGAAATCCCCCTAAACTTCTATAATGCAACAACACTGCATGGTTTTCTTATGTTTCCTAGTTCAGCCACTGCCTGCCTCTGTGGGTGCTGGGCTGAGAGAATGGATCTCTCCCTTACAACGTATCTGAAAAGACTGCTGCTCCTCTAGGCTCTGTTTACAGTGTTTAGGAAATCTAGTCCTTCTTGGGAGACTCTGGCCAATAACGGCCTTTTTCCAACCCCCCCTACAATGAGTCACATAAAGGCGAATAAAGACCTCAGAAGTCCACACAAGTAGTGGTTCAGTCAGTTCAACATAGGACTCGAGGAACTGTGAGAGTGGGATTCACATCTATGTAAGCCAAAATCTGTAACTGACCAACTTTAATGCAAACCACGTCTTAGAACAGAGTTGGAACAGTTTCAGGATGACTGTTTTCTGATTCTTTTGCTTTTGTTGTTAAATTTCTAGATTTTTGTATGTTGTGTATATCATACACTGTGCTCACACTATAAATACACTGATCAGGCATAACATTATGACCACTGACAGGTGAAGTGAATAACACTGATTATCATGGCACCGGTTAGTGAGCAGCATATTTTCGGGAGTAAGTGAACATTTTGTCCTCAAAGTTGATGCGCTAGAAGCAGGAAAAATGTGCCAAGGTAAGGATTTGGGCAAGTTTGATTATTGTGATGGCTAGACGACTGGGTAAGAGCTTCTCCAAAACCACAGCTCTTGTGGGGTTTTCCTGGAATGCAGTGGTCAGTATCTATCAAAAGTGTTCCAAGAAAGTAACAGTGGTGAATAAGCGACAGAGTGACGCAGGTGGGGAGTGAAGGCTGGCCCGTGTGGTCAGACCCCTGTCCACTGCCAAAAGCACCAACTATGGGCACGTGAGCAGCAGAACTGGACCGTGGAGCAATGGAAGAAGGTGGTCTGGTCTGATGAATCCCATTTTCTTTCACATCACGTGGATGGCCAGCTGTGCGTGAGTTGCTTACCTGTACACCCTTTCGTGGAAACAGTATTCCCTGGCAGCTGTGGCCTCTTTCAGCAGGATAATGCCACAAAGCAAACAAATCGGATCCATGGGGGCCCCACCTCAAAACTTACGGGACTGAAAGGATCTGTTGCTGGTGCAGATACCACAGCACACTTTCAGAGTTCTGGTGGACTCCATGCCTCAATGGGTCAGGGCTATTTTGGCAGCAAAAGGGGGACCAACACAAAATTAAGCAGGTGGTCATAATGTTATGCCTGATGAATCTATGGTGCACCTGTATCTAAGGTAAGAATCGGGAGTTCATGATTAAGTCCACATTCCAGTCATCCCAGTGCCATCACAGATCTTTTAATATAATATTAAAATCTCTCACTCTTTGGTCAGCATTGGGCAGGTCTTGAGCAGGTAGTGACTGAGCAGGGTGTCCTGGTAAATGATCTCTGGTGGTGCAGTGGGACTCTTGAGGTTCAGACAGCGGACAATGATATAGAGGATGGTAGCCACCGCCGCCAGCTTCACACCATCAAACATGGCGGGCAGCTCTGGGCCAAAGGTGTGTACGTAACCGCCCTCCGTGGTGGTCATTTTATATGTGTGAGTTGATCCGCTGTGTGTGCATAAACATATAATTTACACAAGCAAAAAGCCAACAGCAAATGGATTATTTTTACACAGTACATTTACAAAAGTCAAATTTCATAAATGAAACTGAAATATTGAAAACATAAAATATGTTTGTAAATTTCTGCTAAAACGGCAGCTTCTCACATACAACAGCATAAAATGACATGGTGCTCTAACTTATAGGCAGCTGTGCGACATTTGGGATCTGATCTTTCAGTAGAGTCTAGTATGAAATATCAAAATAATAAATAAATAACTAAAAATCCACTGAAGACATGATAGAGTTATCCAGGAGTGACACCATCTATTAATGTTGACGGTTTTTACTCACCTTGCTGCCAGAAGAAAGTATTTCATTCAGAGCTGGGAAAACACGCAAGTAACATCTCATTGAATTAAATGGCCAAGGCAAACCAACAAAAGAGTACACAAACACGAGTAATTTGCAATATGTGGTTTGCGGTGCGGTTACGTGACGCATATGGATTACACAAAATGAGAAATAGGGAGGTTAGAAGAAACTGCCTGCTAGCTTAAAAGTGCCTCAGTTTGTTGCCTTTGTCACGTCACTCAGGTAAAACTTTTTCTGTCAGATGTCGACCAAACACAACAGGCACTTTACGTAAAGAACGCAATACGGGTTGAGCATAAAATTAAAATGTATGGTCTTACCATTACACTTTCTGAAGTTTCACTAGGTTTTTCCCGGACCCACCCGAAGTTTGACGCTCTAACACCGCCTGTTTACAGCGGAGAAACTGACTGACCAGAGGCTCGCTCGGGATGCCTTCATGCCACCTGAAAAAGCTCCGAATTTTTGCAATCCCAAATGCAACCAAATGATAAATTTACAATTGCGAATGAAAATATGTATATTCAATTTTTTAACGTTTTATTTTCACGTTTTTGTCCATCTTATTTTACGTTCTACTTGTTAGACCTGTCATGTATAGTCATAACATAATGCATGAAACTCTCCATTTCGGTGTCACAGTCTCCTCCTTCGCTTTGTGAAACTGAAATTTCCGATTATACCAGCAGGCAGTACAGCAAACATAGCCACTTACTTCCTACTTAACTGAAACCCTAGCTTACGTTGACAAATAATAAAAATAATAATAATACAAACAGAAAAACTAAATCCAACAAACGTTATTCCTCCAGTTCAAATGTCATTCATTTTCAAGCGATTTGTCTGATCTTTGCACTGAGTGTGTTAGCCACAAGAGGGCGCCATTGATTAACTGGAAACACTGGGTCAAAATCAATGACTGTATATTCTCATAGCGGCTTAACCATGCTTTAAATGTTGTTTCTATTAATATATAATATATCCATGTATAATAAGTGAATATTTGTTTATTTTAATGTGTTGATGACATGGCTTTAACTTTGACATCAAAAAGTATAGTTTTACAGATTGGTAACATACACACTCTCAATACTTTTTGCATACATTTCATCACATCTCCCAAATCTTTAACTCTTTCAAATAAATTCTAAGAAATGGGATTTTCAGCATACTTTATGCGACAATGATGCAACGATGTAAACTAAAATTAATAGAATTCTTTTGGCAATATATACATTCATCAATTATTGTCATGTGTATATCTTCCACAGTCCAACATACACCAGAAAGCCCCATTTGGCAAAAAATCATTGAGCCTTGTGAGCATACACAGCTGTACAAACTAAGAATGTCAAAATGAAACTCTGCTCATCTCCACTCCTATCAATTATTTTCATTTCTTTATATCTGGTGCTGTTTATGATGAATCCTCAGTCTCATTTCCAAATGGGAGACAGAAGTGAAAGACATCTTGGCCAATTTTTCTTGTTTCTGTGTGGGAGACAGAAGTGAAACATCACTGATACATACCAGCTATACATTCATGAATCCTGTGCCAAATTCGCCAAGTAGCATTTCCCTTTAAGGGTATCACATGTTCTCAAGATTTGAGTTTACAGGATTATGCTACTCTCTGCAATGCGGATTAAGATCAAACAGGGTCCTGTCACATTAAATTTTCATTTAACTGTCATCTTGTGATGATTAACCCAGCTCATACTAACTGAAGGTCAGTCATGTGAAGAAGCTTTGTCGCATGGAAGAGGAACATCTGAGAAATCTGTCATTGCTGAGACACACACCACAGTGACCACTGATGAATGTCAGTCAGCCTGATGTGTACATGATACAGTGGCATCTGTGTTTTCAGAGAAAGGTGGTAATTTTTTGCAATTCATATTAAAACTTGAAAAGGGGAAAGATTATTACACCCCCCCCCCACCCCATTTACTTACCTCTTAAAGAGAAATGTAATCTCCTTTATTATTATTTTTTCTCTCAGTTCACCCTCGAAAAATCAATTACAGGCACTGGAGTTCTAAAATAGATGGAGTGTTGCATAAACAAATGTAGTTGCATTAGTTGCCCAAAGAGCCACAAATAAGTTACATTTATCCACACAAGATAAATGTGAAAGATTGGGAGCTTGATAGAATCACCACTCCTAGACATCACTCTTAGTCTCACACCTATTAAAACCAATTATTTGTCTCACGACCACTCCCTCTGACAGCTCAAAAATCAACTCTGACCCACTGCTGGATCCCAGTTCCAGAAACACCCACAGATGGCTTGATACAATAAATCTCTGGCCTTAATCTGCATGTCAGAAGAGAATTTCATGCATGGCACATCATGGAAATTTTCCCAGAACTTTTTGTGAATAGACTTGCAATTCATCAACAGGGCTCCATCAAAGAGTGACATTACGGACTAAAGCTGTACTGATGGTGACGATGATGACGCAAATTAAATGCATGTAAATTCTGTTTTAGAAGAAAAATGGGACTCATTTAAATATTACAAATATTTATAAAATATTTCAGTGTGTTTCAAACATTTTTGGATACAAGAAACATTATTCAGAACATTAAGAATCAATGAACTCTCTCACATGCGATAGTAAATCTGACATTTTAGACCATATTCATATATCATATATAGATGATATATACATTACAATTAAAGCAAAAACTCATATGGATTTTTTTGAATGCTGTGGTCTAGGCCTTACATGATTATAGCTCCTTTTCCCATCTGTTATCCATCCTGTTGTAATCATATAAAGCTGTTATGTATGTATAATGAATTCACATACAGCAAATCTGACTTTAGCCATAAAACAACCAAATGATGCTAATGCATGCTGATTGAACTGTTAAAGTTAGTAAAATCTTACCACTAGAGTTCATCAGATTGTAGATTACAGTAAAATACATTCTGTTTTCTTACACCTCCCAGTTCACCTCACTCACCCCCAACCCATGGTTGCTCCTCCCTCAAACTGGTTTCTGGCAGAGGTTTTTTTTTCCTGTTAAATGGAAGGTTTTCCTTCCCAGTGTCACCAAGTGTTTAATCATAGGAAGTCACCTCGTTTTCTCTGTATTTTTGTAGGGTCTTTATCTTAAAATACACAGCACCTTTGTGTGACTTTTTGGCACTGTATAAATTGAATTGGATTGAATTGAATTGAATCATCGTAGCTACAATTTAGCTTAGCTGTCAATATGTGTGCATGTTTATTTACTCTGGAGGAGGCTGTAAAACGTTTTGATGAAGTCTAATTTGGGTCAAAGGGTCAGTGAGCTTACTTCTGTCCAACAGCAGTAATAATGAGTTGAGTTCTTGAGTATATCCTGAACTTTTCTGTCAGCACGCGTTGCTGTTTTTGTCCCTGTTAGCTGTAACTCTCATACAATGTGAAAATGTAATCAAACTGTTTGTCAAGGAAAGAGTGTGAGTTTAAGGACGTCCTTTTGGTGGCCAAAGGTGATGCTATCAGAAGTTGGTTCTTGAAGTTCACTACTGCTGTTGGCTTGGTATCTGAAGTCAAAATAAAGATGCGTGGTTCTTGGTGCTCTTGGTCCCTCAAACTCAGAGAAAAGCATTTTACTACAAGGACTGGCAGACCTATTCACCTTCGTAATACATAAATGTTACTAAAATGTAAACAATGATTTTCTCCTCAAGGTTTGGTATTGAAAAATTGAATGAAATCAAATTTAGATATAGTGCAGCCCATTAGCTATAATAGCTTCTTTTGTTTCCATAGCAGATCAATTTACTTTTCTCAGTGACTTTTTTTTAAACGGGGGGCGGGGTCACAATTAAATGCCAGGCTGCGATTGGCCGAGAGCCGAGGTACACGTGCTCCTTCTCCACGCCTGCTCTCTGGGAGTAAGAGCCGAACAACAAGCTCGAGCCGCCGTAGCAACAACGTCCAGACTGTCGTTGCACTCTAACCGTACAGTTGTCCATCAAACTAACAAACTACAGCTATTTAACGGCTGACAAAAACAAGAAGTATGAAGGAACAGACGCGGTTTTTCCTTTGGCTGCAACTTTTTACAGCTTGTCTGGTGTTTGGGGTAAACGGTAAGTTACCTCTCTCTCTCTCTCCCTGTTTTAACATTTGTTCTATTACTATCAGTCTTTACTGTCAACAGTCCTTACTGCTCAGACCGCAGCCCACAGTGTCCAGTACCGTGACTGTTTCAGTTGAGTTGGTTGCTTGCTTCCCCTCTCGTCACTTCTGATTTTACACAGTATAAATTAGTTGTTGACACCTCAGAGTTTTTTTCCCCTATCTCCCCCCTTTTTGTGCGTGTGTGCGCGCGCTAATCACACCCCGGCACAAGTGGTGCCTTCACTTCATCGCCGGAATAATGGAGCTGTGGGCATTTGTAGGTGCAAGTTCAAGCAATCCTTGAATAAGTGGACAGGACGTGTGGGAATGTGGTGAGTGGGACACTGGCTGGTTGTGAAACGGGAGGATTGCAGTTGTAAGGATAATCACATAAAAACAACTAACCGTCTGTAGCTGATGAGATCTAAATGTGTTCCAGGTTTTGTATGGTTTACAGAGTCAACGCTTGGAGGCATTCATGTGCGCATTGACAACCCCCCCCCCTTTTTTTTTATTAAAAAGAGAAGCATACACACACTTACGGTGGCTATTATACTTATCCAGTGTTAACCTTATGCCATTGGCGCTTGTCTTTGTTTGCTTTTCCACGCATCAAACACATTTAGGCCGATGGACAAAAGCTGAAATGGCCTGACTTCCACTGCCTCCATTTCTGCTCACACACAAATGGAAAAGGAGTCACATGTGTTTTCCTTGGTATGATGGTGTATTTTCCAAATGTGAAAAAAGGAAGAAAAAAAAGGATCATTTCCCACCATTTGCATATTGAAAAAAAAGGGAAATTCATAACTTGGATTACTGTTGTGTAATAGTACATTGCTTTCCAGATTAAACATTTTGATTTATAGTCTATTCAGCTGTCAGTGAGCCACTGGCTTAGTCGTCCTGAGGGATTGAAACTCAGTATCAGAGGTCAAAGCAGTTTCTTCTTCTTTACAGATGTATTTGAAAATATGTTGGAAAGCATAAAAATAAACTAATAAAGAACAGAGTTAGATTGATTTGAAAATAGAAGCGTAGAAGTGGCTACTTTTTTCACAGTATAGCATGACTGTTGTACTTGTCATGGTTTCACTATCTGCCTAATGCTTCTGTGTCAAGAGTTTTTCCTGCCTTTTGACACCCACCAGAGATTTTGTTCAGAGCCAGAGGTAAATCACCAGCATTGTACTTTTTAAATTGCAGTTTACTAATGCATAAACCATGCTTTTCTTTGTAAGATAGTTAGAAATATCAGGAAATTACACTTTTATTTCCTGTCAAAGTAGCAAAGACTCATTCGCTTTACTGA